GTTGAGTGTGGCTTATGCATAGTGGATGACTATGACAAAACGTTTCAGAAGATTCAACTGGGGAGTCATGGGCTATGGTTTTATGTTTCAAGCATCTCTCAGGATAATATGGTCACGCTGCGTGAGCAAGAATATCCAAATCACTTAGACAGTGATAACTGCGACTCCTTAACAAAGTTGAGTCTTCCCATCACTCATTTTCTCTCTTTTGAAAATCCCTACAACCAAACCTTATTCAGATGCCCTCTAAATTATGTTAAGCCCACAAAGTCCGGTTCGGTCTGCAATGACTCCAAATACTTGTTTTTATACTTTTCCGCAACTGATGAATTGCCAAGTTCTATATTTCAATCATGTTCACTTATTCCCTTCCATATGAATAAGACACAACAGTGTTGAATTTTTCAATTTGTCAGCTTATGATTTCACCCTGGAAGTAAATGTGACAAAAGAATGTCGTGATTGTTATAAGGCGGGAGGGCAATGCCAAACTGATAGCGATGGAAATGTTAATTGTTTAGTGACAGTTATTATAGTGAAGTACTAGGACTCGTTCCTAGGTACTACTTTTCTACTTTCCATGTTTTACTTATTGGTTTCTTGTTCTTAGTTTACTAGCATTTTTCATGGATTGATGAACTGCGTTTAGTTTAGTTTAGTTCAAGTCTAGTGAATTTGGACTGTCCTTTCTGGGTTTAGAGAAAGTAGCTTAGTTTGCTCCACTTCGATCTATCATCTATATCAAACAAGAAACAAGATTGTGATTGGTATTAGAAAGGATAAACACAAAAAAAAATGTTAATCACACATATTTCATATTTCTTATTCTGCATGTGTCATTACACTATAAAAGTTCAAGAGAGTTCAGAAGAAGGAAGGAAACCATCATGCTGATATCATCTTCTTTCATAAATCAATGACTTGTTTTCTGTCACTAACACAAAATCTAAGGATGAGGATGTGAATTGGAGTAATTGCCTGTAAATATTTAGTTGCTGCACCTGTTAATTGGAGGATGTAAGTTGTTGAAGCTGAATTTAACTGAAATGACTAGACACAGTTGGATACTGTCAATAGAATAGAGTCCTATATCTGAGTCCAGCTAACTCACAATTCTTTGAAAACTAATTCTAGGTCTAGGTGCAAAGTAATCCTTTCGAATTTCAAGGTACTTGATAGAATTAGAAATACATAAAAGATTAGCATGGTCCTGCACAAGCTTAGTATGACATGCATGTTTCCACCTGTGTATAAACTCCTGTAGAGCAATAGCTACCATAAGCCGAACACTAAGCGATTCTAAGTTAATGGATAACTTGAGATTGAACCTTACCAGTTTCTATATTGTTGATCGGTAAACCACCGTGTTCAACAGGATTCTGTGGTGTGATTGTATTGCTTGCTGTTGCAGAACATGTTTGTCTGTTCTGTATGAATTATTTGTTCAGCCTTGAAGTTCAACTCTGAGGTACTAAATCCCGTGTCTCCATCAGATTCCTTGTGCATACTTTTCTCTGCCCCGCTACCTACTTTAACTGCAAAGACTTTTCAAAGAAACAAGTTTGTCCTCATAATAGTCTCATCACAAGATAACTTGAATAAATCCTCTGCTTTATGAGACATTTTAGAGAAGATAACCTCTTCCAAATCAGATAAAGATTCTTGAAATGTCAATAGATTTCCTGTGCTTACATTTGCTGCCCCATTGCCTACTTCACCTGGAAAGACTTTTCTTATCACAATGAAAACCACCTCTTAATTTAGAGATTACAATGGCCCAATTTGCCCATCACTTTCTTTGTAGAATTTGTTCCTTTTTTGCCTCGATTATCAGGAAGTAATTAACCCAAAACGCCACCTTATATGTTTTTTTTTCTCATAGATTCAAACCCGTTTTCTCTTTTCACCACGTTTTCTTAACTTTTGTCACAGGCCGCCAGAGCATCGCTTCTCCAAAGTTTGTGGACATTTAGCAAAGTTTCTCTTTTGTTTCTGTTGTGAACTTGTGGTGCATACAACTAATCCCTAGACCAGCCAACATGAGTAGAGTAGTGGAGATGTTGGAAGGGAGATCATTCCTTGCAAATTCCACCCAACCTTACCTATCTTCACCGGGATCAGCCCCAAGAGATTCTACATTAACCTACTAAGTTAAGTAGTTCCTGAAATGATTTATTAATCAACATGCATCTTCATACTAAGAACTGTGGCTTCAGATATATTATACATTTTGAAATTTCTCTGTTGATTAAAACCTCTGCTTTTTGACTCCGTTTTAGTAACTACTTTATTCATAGGCACTAATGATCATTGGCTTGCTTTGCTCCTTCACCTACACTTCAACCCAAAACGCTAAGAAATTACATATATTTCATATATAAATCAGCTCTAGATCGCAATCAATCTTGTAACAAATCCTAATGATTGAAATTTGTTTTTCTCCAAAGAAGAAAACAACTTTTAGTCTTTTTCTTGCTTTAGTAACTTTGGCCTTAATTAAACCACACAAATTTTCTCCAAATTTGTCGACCATTTAATAAGAATCTTTGTAGTTATCAACAATCTGCACAACAATTTGGGGTCCACTATGTTTCTTAGTAAAGAATTGTTTTTCCTAATCAGCGAGGACTTATCCTTTTTTTCAGGCTAGCCTTGTCTAGACGTGTCAAATGTTGAAGAAAACAACTGGATGAAGTTATCATCGTCAATCAGATGTCACAGTTTCTGAAGGCAATGAGTCGTGTCTTCCCAGTACTATTCTCCGGGAGAGTAGTTGGAAGTATTGCATTAACTATTGCCGGAATAGTAAAAAGATTGCCCATTGGGCAGCTTTTAAGTCTGTTTCTGCAAGAATTCTACCACTGTTCAAGTCAACTGACGTGTTTCAAAGGATAAGATATTAATGATATGATTAAAATATTCACCAAAATACTACTTTATAACAGTATTTTATAATAGTATTTTAGTTGAGAGTTGTATAGCATGTTAGGTTCAGAGAAAGGAGTGGAAATGACTAATTGCACAGCAGGACTATTTGTCATAGGTCCTCAAATACTTCATTCATTAAGTTCCTATTCTTTTTGTAATGAAAAAGATGGACAATCATCTTATGGCCATTATTTTGTGAATTTTCTGATCTCACAGAGCCATAGGGCCAAGATTTTTCCACTTCTCTGTCGTCTATCTGACCGCGTCAAGTAAGTAGCAGACTGCAGAGAAGGCCACTTTAAGCCATAATAGTCAATCGGTCTAGTCTTCTTGTCTTTGGCCGATCAATGAAAATGGATATTCTTGCGGAGTACGAGTGTGATTCACGCGAATGCCCCAACTTCCACTTGTTTCCTTATGTTTTTTTCGCAAGTCTTTCCCGTGCAATTTCTACGTCAACTGGCTTGTTTTGTTAGAAGCAAGAACAGAACTACAAATAGAAGTAATACAAGGATTTGTTAATAGTAATAGCTGATGGGTCTGGCAACTTATCATGTGTTCTTTCTTCTTTCTCATTTTACTTCTTTGCTTGGCTCAATCGGAAAAGAGGTTGAATCCTAGATGTCCAAGTTTCCATTGTGGTTTCCTGGGTGATGTCGGATTCCCTCTCCAATCGAACGCATCCGGAGTGTGGTTTGCTGATTGTAGATAACTGCACTAAAGATGTTCAGAAGATTCAGTTGGGGAAGGGTGGCCCTGGTTTAGTGTCAGTGCCATCCTCAGGATATATGCTTAATCTTAAAGAAGGAATTTAGAACAATCGAAGATCTGTAGCCCCAAATCCTTCAAAACATTGATTCTTCCCCTCTCTCTTTTCTCTCTTTTATTTGCCCTACAATCAATCAGCGTTCCATGCCCCCCGGTTACAGGCTCCCCGAACATTTCGCTTCTGTTTGCAATAACTCCAAAGGCTCCGTTATCGTGTACAAAAACCCAACAATCATTTTCCAAGTTCTCCACCTCGCTGTACACCTTTTAACTACCGAGTGAATATGACTCAAAAGTGTTGAATATTCTGATTTGTTTATGGGTTTTTCTCTCTGAAAGTGAATGTAACGGATGAATGTTATGATTGTTTTTTGCGGGAGGGCATGTCAACTGATAGCAAGGGAAACTTTAGATGTTTTGTGACAGGAGAACAAACTCCAATATATCTTACACTCAAAGAACACCCATCACAATAACGGTGAAGTGCTACGATTTTGTCTTGGTTAAATACACGCCTTGCTTTCCATGTTTTACCTATTGTTTTTCTCTATCTTATTTGCAGCTTTACATAGCATATATTCGTTAATTCTAGTTCCATAACAACAAATTTATCATGACTTTTGTTACATTCATAATCTTGAGAAGAACTTGGATGATGATAAGTTGATCAATCACTCCAGTTGTTATGGTTTAAACTAAAACCACTTATTTGTAACTTGTTGCAGGGATGGGAAAAGGAAATCAGGAATGAAGCTGCATCGGACTTGGTAGATTCCCTTTTAACCAAATATCTTTGTGGCCATCTTTTCTGCTTATTCTTTTCTTCTAGTTTTCCAGAAAGCCTGAAATCATCTAGGCAATTGATTTTAAGGGCATTCACTGTATTCAACTCAGAAGTCTAGAATTTATCTGAATCAGCTGTTGAAAACAAAACAGAGGATCCTTCTAATAACCATTAAAAATTGTCTTAACAATTTGTCATCTTTATCTTCTGATGACTCCTTTCAAAATAGTATTAAGGTCTCTATTCGTGTTAAAGACTTATCAAAAGTTGCAGCAAAAATATAGCCATCAAGTCCCTTTTCCTAGAACTTGAACTATATAAGTTAGTCTTGCAAGAGATTCTTTCTGCATATATACAAATATTTGTGGCATTGACACCCTCCAAATTAACCATTCCAAATTGTCTTAACGATTTGCCATCATTGTGTTCTGCTGATTCATTTCTTCAATTAATTGCAGCCGTAGCAACCATTGCGACTGGTATATTGATAGTTCTGGCCTTTTGCTCTTGGAGAAAATTGTCACCACATAATGCCATGGTCGTCTTCATGAAGAAAACTAAGAATTACCAAAACATTGAGGCATTTTTAAGGAATCATGGATCACTTCCTCTTAAAAGATATAGTTATTCAGATATTAAGAAAATGACCAATTCATTTAGACACAAGCTTGGCCAAGGAGGATATGGAGGTGTTTATAAAGGTAGGCTACTTGATGGTCGCTATGTAGCGGTGAAGAATTTAATTGATTCTGAAGGTAATGGTGAAGAATTTATCAATGAGGTTGCTAGCATTAGTAAGACTTCCCATGTCAATATTGTCACTCTTTTAGGTTTTTGTTTTGAGGGTCATACAAGAGCTCTCATCTACGAGTATATGTCCAATGGATCTCTTGAGAAGTTCATATACGAAAAAGATCAATCCCAAACAAATCATTCACTGAAGTGGGAAACACTATACCAGATTGCAATAGGCATAGCTCGAGGATTAGAATACTTGCACCGTGGTTGCAGCACACGAATTTTACACTTTGATATAAAACCTCATAACATTCTCTTAGATGAAGATTTTTGTCCGAAGATCTCTGATTTTGGTCTTGCCAAAATTTGCCCCAAGAAAGAGAGTATTATATCAATGACAAGTGTACGGGGGACAATTGGTTATATTGCTCCAGAAGTATTTTCTAGAAACTTTGGAACAGTCTCTCACAAGTCAGATGTTTATAGCTATGGAATGATGGTTATAGAAATGACAGGAGGAAGAGAAAGTAACAATGTTGGAGTTGACAATAGTAGTGAATTATATTTTCCACAATGGATTTACGAGCGTCTCAAATTAGATGAAGAACTTGGACTGCAAGGCATTTCAAATGAAGAAGATAAAGAACGTGTAAGGCAGATGATTATAGTGAGCTTGTGGTGCATACAAACCAATCCTTCAGACCGGCCAATAATGAGTAGAGTAGTGGAGATGTTGGAAGGAAGCATCAATTCCTTGCAAATTCCACCCAAGCCTTTCCTATCTTCACCGAGATCAGTCCCAAGAGATTCTTCAATTAACCTACTAAGTTAAATAGTTTCGGAAATGATGTATTAATCAACATTCGTATCTTCATACTGAGAACTGTGATTTTAGATTCATTAGTACATTTTCAAATTTATCTAGTATTAATACCTCTACTTTTTAACTCTGTTCTGGTAACTACTTTATTCATAGGCACTAAATGATCACTGGCTTGCTTTGCTCCTCCATTTACACCTCAACCCAAAACCGCTAAGAAAACTTCATATTAGTTCATATATAAATCAGCTCTAGATCAACAGAAAACTACATTACTATAAGCATTACGTAACCTATTGAAAAGTGTCTATTAATAGTGTCTGACAATTTAACAAATACAGTTAATGATCTCTCATATTTTATATTTATTTCCTTCATATTTATTGTAAGACCTGGGAAAGCAGTGTAGCATATAAGAATCTAGCACATTTTCAAGGTAGCATAGAATGGTGTGAACAAAAAGACATTGATGCATCTCCATATAAAAACAAAGTAAAGAATTGATGACTTTGCGAGATTGAAATAACTTATGGGAAACGGGGAAAAATTGGTGGGTGTGACTCGTGGGTGCACATGCATCACACACCGCCAAAATCGAAACGTGGCTCTAAATAAGAGGATAATAGAAAAGAACAAGTATTCTTGTGAAAGGTGACGTGGTGGCCCGCTTTGTGTGCTAGTTGTTGTGGTTTTGAAAGAATCAATGTACGTGAATTATACAAGGGTGCCTTTGGTTAGGATCCGTTACTCTAATAATACTATCTTATATTATTGTTCATTATCATATTTGGTTAGTAAATAATAAAAGATTTTAGTCTGAATACCATCATTTTTTATATATTCTAAGATTACTTGATAACTTTAATTTTGTTACAATTTTATCCATAACTAATAAAATATTTGGACATTATTATCCTTGTAGTTTGACCAAATTAAATCCCCAAATTGATTTTTCACCAAATCCATTATATATCTAATCTAACCAGTTAATAATATAATATAATAATAATATTAATGATATAATATTAAAAAAGAAGAGCAATTCAAGGGAAAGTTTCTTCCAAAATTCTTTTATTTCTACCAATCAAACATATTAGTTATTTATATCTGTCAATTTATTTCAATCTAACCAAACATGTTTAATATAACATTTTCAATAATCTTCAAGATAATTTATATTTCCTTTAATATAATATTCCGGATAATGAATAAGGAGCAACGTGATAAACAAGTTGGCCCATGCAAATGATTTAAAATACTGAACATGTGCATAGGTCTAGACGTGTCAAATAAGTTGAAGAATCCTCTCCTTTATTTCCAATCAACTGGCGTGTTTTGCTTTTGAAGGAGAAGCGACTCTGCTTCTATATTGAGAGGAACTGTGAAGAAACGTTAAGAGATAAAGAAGTTTGGAAAAATGGCTCGTTTGTCTTGTCTTGTGTGTTTGTTGTCTTTCATCTCTTACTTCTTGGCTTGGTTCAAGAAGAAAAGAGAATCAATCCAAAATGTCTACCTTTCTCTTGTGGTTTACTTGACGAGATCGGCTTCCCCTTCTCCAATGGAACTCATCCCGAGTGTGGCTTATGCATAGTGGATGACTGTGACAAAACGTTTCAGAAGATTCAGCTGGGGAATCATGTGGGACATAGTTTTATGTTTCACGCTTCGTGACCAAGAATTGCCGAATCAGTTCGACAACAGCAGCTGCGGATATTAGAGAGTCTTCCGATTACTTCTCATAAATTGTTGTAACTGCTTCTGTTTGTTTAATTTTTTAATTTGTGTTTTAAGTTACAGCTGTACACTTATCTTTAGGGATACGTTTCCAATCTGTTACAATCCTTTGTATTTATATATGCTACTTTAATGTGAAGCCGTGTGGCATATTTCCTCTCCTCTGTTCCTCTATTTCTCTCATTGATTATATGGTATCAGAGCATTTAATTGCTACTGCTCTCTTCTCCAGCCACCAGTACCATGACAACAACCAATAATTCCAACTCTCCACCTGTTTTTCAAAACACAAATGAACTAAACACATCTCTCATCTCCATCAATATCTCTGCCCAAGCCCCACTCAAACTCACCACAACCAATTACATCTCCTGGAAACTTCAATTCCACACTCTCTTTGTCGGCTATGACCTCTTAGGATAGATAGATGGATCCAAACCTTGTCCACCCTCCACTATTACTCAAAACAACACCACTGTACCAAATCCTGCTCAGAATGCCTGGATTAGACAAGACCAACTTATCCTTAATGCTTTAGTTGGATCTCTTTCTCCCACAATTATCCCGTTCATCGCTAGGGCCAAAACATCAGAAGAAGCTTGGTTGATCCTGGCAAACACATATGCCAAGCCATCTCGAGGGTGCATCAAGCAGGTAAAGAATCAAATTAAAGATCTAACCAAGGGGTCTCAAATTGTTACAGAGTTTCTTCAATTGGTGAAGTGTCGGGCTGATGAACTTGTTATTCTTAGGGCACCAATGGATGAAGATGACCTCATAGACAAAATTCTTTATGGTCTTGGGGATGACTATAAAGAGCTTATACATGCAGTTCAAGCCCGCGATACCATGATCAAGTTTGATGAGTTCCACGAAAAGCTTCTAAATTTTGAAGCGTCTCTTCAAGGTGCAAAATCTGAACCCTCTCATTTTCCAGCCTCAGCAAATCCTGCAAATCGTAACACTACAAGTTGGCGTCCCTCTTTCAACTCTAGTAACGCCAAAAATAATTGGAGTCCATCAACACACTCTGGTAACAACAGTACAAGTTGGCGTCCCTCACCCCATACCAACAATCGCTCCCCCGCGTTTCCTAACGCTGGACAAAACTCGTCTCGTAACCAACGACCTCCTTCTCGACCTTACCTTGGTTATTGCCAGATATGTGGAATATAGGGGCACACTGCAAAGAGATGTCCCTTTTTTCGCTTGGTGCCAAATCAACCCAATACAACTCCAGTTGCACCAGTGAACAACACTATGACACCTGGCAACCTCGAGCTCATTTTGCAGCCAACACTACTCCCACCACTCCACAATGGCTACTAGACAATGGTGCTTCTCATCATGTCACTACCGACCTGAGTAATCTATCTCTCCACACACCTTACAATGGTTTAGATGACATTATGATTGGTGATGGATCGAGTCTTCTTATAACTCACACTGGTTCTACTTCTTTTACCACTCATAACACATCATTTAAATTAGACAATGTTTTGTGTGTCCCTAGCATAAAAAAGAATCTAATTTCCATTTCTCAATTTTGTACATCAAACAATGTCTCTGTTGAATTCTTACCATCCTCTTTTCATGTGAAAGAACTTCGCACGAGGGCAATCCTTTTGAAAGGTCACACGAAGGATGGGGTGTATGAATGGCCGGTTTCCTCTTCCCCAACATCTCCATTAATAACTTTTTCTAGTGTCAAAACTTCTTCATCTAAGTGGCATCATAGATTAGGCCATCCCGCATTTCCCATTTTAAAACATATTGTTTCGCATTATCAGTTAGATTTGTCTTCCTCTTTGATCTCTGATTTTTTGTGTAATGCTTGTCACTGCAATAAAAGCCATAAATTACCTTTCTCTACATCTACTGTTGTCTCCTCTCAACCATTTGAAATTATTTTCTCTGATGTGTGGACTTCCCCTGTTATCTCCCATGATGGTTTTAAATATTATGTCATATTTGTTGATCACTTCACTAAATACATTTGGTTTTATCCCCTTCAATAGAAATCTGAAGTTAAAGACATGTTTATTAGATTTAAAGCCACTGTGGAAACACACTTTCAAAATAAAATTCATACACTTTACTCCGATAATGGTGGTGAATACTTAGCTCTTCGACCTTTTCTTGCTACCCATGGGATCACTCACCTTACTACTCTACCACACACTCTTGAACACAATGGGTACTCTGAAAGACGTCATCGTCGCATTGTCGAAGCAGGTCTCACTCTCCTCTCTCATGCATCACTTCCTTCAACATTTTGGACTCATGTCGTTGCCACTACTGTTTACCTAATAAATCGTATGCCCACTCCCACACTAAATCTATCATCTCCCTATGAAAACATTTTTGGCTTTTCCCAAACTACTCTAAACTTAGGATTTTCGGTTGTTTGTGCTACCCATGGTTACGTCCTTATTCATCTCACAAACTTGAGTCTCGTTCCAAGCCTTGTAATTTTTCTAGGCTATTCTCTTACTCAAAGTGCTTATCTATGCTATCATCCTCCCACATCTAGAATGTATGTCTCTCATCATGTCAAATTTGTTGAGTTCATCTTCCCCTCTCTTACTGTATCAATGCAATCTGTCACTCCACAACCCAACACCGTCTCCACATGGATTCCTCCCATCATCACAGTTCTAACCAACCAGGCTTCCACCGGGACATTCAACACACCATCTGCAGTTCAACCTCAAGGACAACCCTCATGTGATGCTTCGTTCCCTACTACCAGCATAACCCCACGCATACCACATGAGTCTCCTATCCAACCTACCATCTCTATGCCTTCACCTGAAATCCAACCAACCACCTCTATGCTTTCATCTAGAAACTTAATGTCTCCACACAACTCTCTCACCCTTGTGATGTCGAACCAACCATTGTGACACAAGCCCTCAAAGATCCAAAATGGAGTTAGGCCATGTTTGAAGAATATGATGCTCTTGTTCGAAATGGGACATGGGAGCTTGTCCCATCAGATTCTAGTCACAATATAGTTGGATGTAAGTGGATTTTTCGAACTAAACATTACTCTGATGGTTCTATTGATAGGCACAAAGCACACTTGGTTGCGAAAGGCTCTCATCAACGACCAGGAATTGACTATCATGACACTTTTAGTCTTGTGGTGAAGCCTACTACAGTCCGTTTAGTGCTTAGCCTTGTTGTGAGTCGTGGTTGGTCTCTATGACAACTGGATGTAAACAATGCCTTTTTGCAAGGTCATCTCTCTGACGATGTTTATATGTCCCAACCTCTAGGTTTCGTTGATTTAGATAATCCAACTCATGTCTACAAGCTTCGGAAAGCAATTTATGGGCTTAAACAAGCTTCAAGAGCATGGTACCATGAACTTCGCAAATTTCATATTGCTTCGGGTTTTCAAAATTCTCATGCCAATACATCTCTTTTTGTTCTAAACATTGGTGGTAACCTTCTCTATCTTCTGGTTTATGTGGATGACATTATTCTTACCGGTAATGATGATGCTATGGTTCACAAGTTTATGCAACTGCTTTCTCACCAATTTTCTCTGAAAGATCTGGGACACTTATCATATTTTCTTGGTGCGGAAGTTATTCCAAATGATCACGGTATACTGCTCTCTCAACGACGTGACATTGTTGATCTTCTTACTCGTACAAAAATGATGGATGCTAAACTAGTACATACTCCATTACCTACTAGTCCTCCTATTACATTGCACTCAGGTTCTCCTCCAAGGATCCCACAGAGTATAGAACAATTGTTGGCAGCTTACAATACTTACTGATCACACGACCAGACATTGCCTTTGCTATTAACAAGCTTTCTCAATACATGCATCAGCCAACTATAGAACATTGGATTCTTGTGAAACGTCTCTTGCATTATCTATGTGGTTCCTCTAGTGATGGCATTCAGCTTTACCATGATTCACCATTCTCTTTACATGCCTTTGCTGATGCAGACCCGCTCTCTCTACATGCCTTTTCCGATTCTGACTGGGCTGGCAACAAGGATGATTTCACATCTACTAGTGCCTATGTTGTTTACATTGGTTGTAATCCTATCTCATGGAGTTCCACGAAGCAAAGAACAATTGCTAGATCCTGTACGGAGGCTGAATATAGGTCAGTAGCTACCACAACTACAGAGCTTAACTGGATAAGTTCTCTCCTTGACAGAACTTGGTGTTGTTCTTCTTCAATCACCTATGATTTATTGTGACAATATCGAGGCAACCAACTTGTGCTCAAATCCAGTTTTTCACTCCAAGATGAAGCATGTTGCCATTGATTTTCATTTTATTCGTAAGCAAGTTCAAAATGGCACTTTATGTGTTTCTCATGTTTTAAGTGATGATCAGCTTGCTGATGCCCTTACAAAACCTCTTCCCAGGTCTCGGTTTCTTTCACTTAAATCCAAGATTGGTCTCGTCACACGACCCTAATCTTGAGGGGGCATATTAGAGAGTCTTTCGATTCCTTCTCATAAATTGTTGTAATTGCTTCTGTTTGTTTAATTTTTGAATTTGTATTTTAAGTTACAGTTATACACTTATCTTTAGGGATACGTTTCCAATTTGTTACAATCCTTTGTATTTATATCTGCTACTTTAATGTGAAGCCGGGTGGCATATTTCCTCTCCTCTGCTCCTCTGTTTCTCTCATTGATTATAGCCGATCCTTACAAACTTTGAGTCTTCCCATCTCTCATTTTCTCTCTTTTGAAAATCCCTACAACCAAAACATATTCAGATGCCCCCTTCATTATGTTTAGCCCATAGAGTACTTCGGTTTGGTCTGCAATGACTCTAAACACTCGTTTTTATACTATCTCCCAACTACTGAATTGCCAAGTTCTATATCTCAATCATGTTCAAGTATTCCCTTCCATGTGAATAAGACTCAACACAGTGTTGAGTCTTTCAATTTGTCAACTTATGAATTCACCCTGGTAGTAAATGTGACAAAAGAATGTCGTAATTGTTATAAGGCGGGAAGGCAATGCCAAACTTATGGCGACGTGTTCAACAGGATTCTGTGGTGTGATCGTATTGCTTGCTATTGCAGAAACATGTTTGTCTATTCTGTATGAATTATTTGTTCAGCCTTGAAGTTCAACAACTCTGAGATACTAAATCCTCTATCTCTCATCAGATTTCCATGTGCACACATTTTTTCTCTGCCCCGTTACCTACTTTAACTGCAAAGACTTTTCAAAGAAACAAGTTTGTCCTCAATTAATAGTCTTATCACAATGATAACTTGAATTTAAATCCTCTGCTTTATGAGACATAGTTAGAGAAGATAACCACTTCCAAATCAGATAAAGATTATTGAAATGTCAATAGATTTCCTTGTGCTTACATTTGCTGCCCCATTGCCTACTTCACCTAGAAAGACTTTTCTTTAT